GCGCGAGCACTTAACCACTAGACCACTGAGCCGGCATCCAACGGTGTTAATGTCTAACTTCAACCAATCCACGAAGTTGCGCCACCGTACACCATTGTCTTCAGTGAGTTCCTATCTCACAACAGACCTGGTTGAACTCCACTGGTAACGGCTTCTCACTAGAACTTCGGGAGTTTTCCTGAAGTCAGTCACTAGTGATCAGTTGATTATTATCAGAATGGGTTTTGTGGAGATTTTAGAAATTTCACAGATTGAAATCATGAGTCAGTTGAAGCTAGACCACCATTGAAAACCTGGAAGCACTGGACGGCCGTTTCGTCCTAGTATGGGACTCCTCAGCAGTGCGCATCCACGATCCCGCACCACGCGGGGCTCGAACCCAGGACCTAGTGGCTTCGCGCGCGAGCACTTAACCACTAGACCACTGAGCCGAGTCCCATACTAGGACGAAACGGCCGTCCAGTGCTTCCAGGTTTTCAATGGTGGTCTAGCTTCAACTGACTCATGATTTCAATCTGTGAAATTTGTAAAATCTCCACAAAACCCATCCTGATAAAAATTATTTGTTTAACAAAACTTAACAAGCTATAATAAAGAAAGAAGTTTACACAGAATTCACAGTCTGAAAGAATATTCATAATTAAAGAGATTGTAAAATCGTGTTCCATCTTTTGATTTTAACATATGGAAATAACGGGAACAATCAACAGATAGAACCATGAATCTTTTCAGATCTATCTGACATAAAATTCATCAATAATTGACAAAAGAAACACAGGAGTCAGAATTTCTAATAATTTGTGTGTATGCTAATTTAATATGCTAAGACTTGACAAAATAACGGGTAAACATTGTGAGAAAAAAATATATATATAGTCCATGAAGTTTCAACGCTTATTCAAAGTTCATAGTGTCTGTAGGAAAAAATGGTTCAGATTCTACTTTACTATCTGTATACCGTCTATTTTAAGTGTTTCGTTTCCACTCGTATATACATACATACTTTCTAGAAAGTTCAAGCCAATCAAAGTTAATGTTGTTCCCAAGTGAACCAGACTGTATATTTCTTGCCGAATACAAAGATAGATCGGCATAAATCTTTATTCTTGAATCATAGATTTATTCAAATTTTCAAAATATAAAATTTAAATTCTTATACATAATCTATTAAAGGTTTTTAAAAGATTTCTAATTTAACCGACAGATTAATACTGTAAAACATATGAAACATCTCTAATTCATAGTTAAAGCCTTTTTTGCTTCATTATTTGTTATTGGTAACTTTGATTCCGTTCTACAATAACGAATTTTACGAAATCAGTTACCGGTGGTTTACTCAAATGTTTGAATAACCTATTTTGTAGTTATTTAGTGTGATATTGCACGATTTGTGCCCAGAAGTTCTTACTATATCAAAATCCATAGTACTGAATAAAGTTATTATCATTATTACTAATATCCGACAGAAGACAAGTCGCTACAAAGAATTCAATCAATCAATAGAACAATTCCAATGACTAATTGAGGAAACTAATAACTTGTTTATTAAACTATTCCCCTATTCCTAATAGAATAAATTTCGAAAAATAGAACCACTAGTCAACTGATTAAATATATTTTACAAGACTAAGATATTTATACAGAAAAAGGATACTCTTAAGTTGGTATTCCTTATGAGATAACAAAGAGCTATTAAAGGACAAAAACGGTCATAAAGTGATCATTAACCTTTCATTTATCTTTTTTAAACATATTTAAGCTTCATAAGATCAATTATTATTATTTCGACACACTGATTCCTGTTAAACTCATATTTTCAATGTGTCAGTCAATATCGAGTTTCATATGAAAGTCTTTTAACAACCAACTTCCACTATCTAGCATCACATACAGTTATGATATTCCATTATTCAACTTAGCTACATCTTAATTGTTATTAAATCAATGTATATTAGTGGACTACATCACTTATTATTGTTCTATAAAATTAACTGATTCATTATCGCTCAAAATAATCTCCTTATAGTAAACATATAGAAATAAGAAGACCCCATAGTTGTCTAGACTAATGACCCAAGAGTGATAAGAATCAGTCTACTCTAATAAAAAATAAACTAATTTGTTGCTTAGTAGTTCTTCTTCTTCTCCTCCTCTGCTTCATCACCGTCATCGTCACCATCAGCGCTATCATCCAATTCTTCATTAACTTCTCATTATAAAATAACCAGAAAAAAAGAAGGGACGAGTGAAAAAAAAGAGAGAAAGAAGAACAACTTGCAATCATGTTTACTTAACTTCACGTCATTCATTATTGTTGCATATGGGTAGATTTATATTTTGCTTTGTTGAATAAGATTGGGAATTTAACTTGAACAATATTGTTAGTGTATTTCTTTTTGAAAAATCAAAGTAATCAGCGAATTTTGAGTTTTATGGTCCAAATTGACAGCTTTAGTTCATTTATGACGCAGTAGAAAAAAAATACCTAGTGTAAATGATAAGTTGTTGTTTCCCTTTTACCAGGAGATTAGAGTTTATAGATTTTGATTCAGTGTGTGCTGCTTAAACACAATAATGTGGCTTTTTGTGAAAATTCCCAAAATTTTTAGTTGGAAAATAAAAAATAAAAAAATATTTTAAAATGAAATTTTGTTTTGATCTTCCCTCCACCATAATGATACGTGTTCATTTGTGATGAGAATTTAGTGAAATAAAATGAATTCATGTCATTTCATTCAAATCTTTGTTCTTATTCCAGATCAGTCTCTCTCTCTCTTATCAAACATATAAGCAATCCATGGAAAACATGAAATGTATGGATCATTAAGTGTCAACCCAGTGGTATAAAAATTTAACGTTCGCTTCTAGGTTTGATGGTCCTGGGTTCGATCCAATGTGGGGTTGTGAATGAACACTTCCAAGGAGCCTCACACTGGGACAAAACGGCTATCCATGGCTTCCTAGTTTTTTTTCCAACAGCTGTTTTGAGTCAAAGTCAGTCACTGATGAAAACCAAGAGTGGAACAATCAAGTTCGGACTTTCAAAAGATTTCTTCTTAAAATTTTTTTTTAGTTATGAAATTCGCAAAACAGACCACATTATCACACACTTGATCACATGAACAGTTAACAAATTTGATCAACATTATTGAACCATAATATTGGTTCGTTAGTTTAACTAATAAATTCAATCGACTTCATGCTCAAATCGATACATAATTTTAATACTTTTTCTTTTGTAGAAAGTAATCATGAAATGTGAATATGTAATATCTGTCATCAGCCATACTGTGGGAGAGAACAAACCAGCTTCCAGCTGAAGAAGAAATTCGGAAAAGACGGTGGAAGTGGAGAGGACATACATTGTAGAAACCATCAAACTGCATCACGAGGTAAGCTCTTAATAGGAATCTTTAATGGAAACAGAGAAGAAGGAGACTAATGAACACACTGAGTCGAGAATCAGAAGCAGACATGAAAATGATGAATAGCGACTGGAAGCAACTGGAAAGGATTGTCCAGGACAGAGTTAGATGGAGAGTGGTGGTGAGTGGCCTATTCACCTTGACGACTACTAACAGGATTAAGTAAGTGCGTATGTAAGTAAGCAAGTAAGTAAGTAAGTATATAGGTCACCAGCCATCTTTTCTACTCAAGTTTTAAATTTAAATAAAACAAATGTGAAAAGTAAACATGCACCCATGCAAATATAGTTATTAAAATAATCATCATTATAACTATTATTGTTGTTTCCATACTAATTGGAGTTGTTTTAATTGTCTGTTTTAATTTGATCAATTCTTTAAACACTTGTTAGTTTTTATTAATTCAAAAAAGTTGTGTAGATTTACTATGTTTATCACTCTCTCTTATTCGGTGAAGGTATTTTAATGCTTGAAATTAACAATAGAACATAGTCCACTTTCAAAATACACAGGATTGATATTGATTATTGATAATCAATTATATTTTACTTTATATTTATATTAAACTCTAAATTTGCTTTGTCAAAAGAAAAAGCTTTTAGATGTCATGATGAAAACAAACTTTTCATAATGTACTGAATTTTGCCTTTATCGATTTTTGGTTTTATTTAATTAAACTCTGTTGATTTGATAATAACAATAAGTATAAAGAGTCATTGTGTTTGATATATTTTGAGCTTAGGATAAATTGTTTCTCCTGAGGTTTTTTTAATTTATTGCGATAAATTACCATGATATTAATATTGATTTATGATTTAATACTTAACTTGATATGAGTTAGTTAGTTTATATATTTGGTGTAACACTGAATTTAAAAGTAATTAGGAAATACATTTAATGAATTTTCATTCCACCTTGAAATTAAAAGCAAACGTAATTCCTATCTAACGTGATGTGTTTGGTAGTAATTGATAGGAAACCCTGGATCTAGGTTTAATACTACTTGTGATGTGTCAGCAAGGTGTACCATCAGTCTTTAGGAAAATAATGTTCCTCATATAATTTGAACTCATGTCACTGATTTTCAGAATCTGAAACAGTGAATCACGTAGACTAATCGGCAGATTGCAATTCTATGAGTAAGTTTCGACCAACGCTAATGACTAGAAAAACAAGCCATTGATTACTCAACAACTGATCACTAGATTTTTAATTCAAATAAACACACTAATGAAACTCATGATGAACTGTTGTGAACTATCAAACTTGATAATTTTCATTAAAATATCACATCGCTTTTTCAATTCTAGATACTGCATAAATGTTAAGATGAAAGTAATTAGTTTACAAATAATCTAATATAATGTTCAGCTTACTTATAGGTAATAGGATGCAATCTGTTACTGAAGCAAATTATAAAAGGATATCAAAGTGAATTGTTTAGGGTACTGAAAAACTCTTGTTTATACTCTTGTCGAGAAACATAGATTGTGTCTCAATATTAAAATATGTTTTATTGATGACTTTCCGTGAACATAAGTGGCATAAAACTCTTAAGGTTTTATTCAAACTGACTTTGAACACCTGAATAACGACAGTTTGCAAAATTCTCCGATTGTCTTGGATCTTCAAGCAAGTAATTCATTTGAAGTAAAAAAAGTAGTAAAGAATTAATATTTTGAACGTCAAAGTATATAAATATATGATAAACTAATTGAATAACTAACATAATTTATATTAAATGTGTTTTGTGTACATTTAACGCTATGCTCCCTAATTGCCTTGGATAAACAAGAAAACCAAATTAATTCTACCGGATACAGTGGATACCAAGTGCTTGAAATAATAATATCGCTTAATTAAATTGGAGTTAATGTACGCTAATGAAAATTTGATGTTTTACAATATCTGTTTGCACTTCCACCAACTTTGTCTCCTCTCTTTTATAATATTTATTAAATATATTTAATGAAAATGGCAAATGAGAGAGAGCAAGAGAGAGATAGAACAAGAGAATATATGTTAACCCTATCCCAATTTAGTCAGCTAATGGATTTATTATTATTATTATCATTATTATTATTGTAGTTTTTATCAATAAAAATATAATGTGATGACAATGTTTATGATGTAGAATGTTTATTTTGGTATTATTATTATTATTATTATTATAATCATTAGTAATAGTAATAATGGGGTTTGACAGTTATGGTCTCAATTAGGCGATAGTGATGAATTTACTAATTACATGGTTATATATATAATAAGTACTATTCATAACAAATGCATTTATTTGAAAAAGTACAATGATGAATACTATTGTTTATATATATATATATATATATATATATATATATATATATATATATATATATAGATGAAATTGAGTGAATGGAGTGAAATTAACTTTTATGCTACTAACGTCATCATCAGCATTAGAAAAACTAAGAGAATGAGATGTTTGTTGTAATTATAGGGAGAGCTAGATCGTAATAATTGGCCAGGTCTATCATGTGATAGGTAATGGAATGATATGATGGGACATTCTTATCATGATAGTTGACATTCTTTTTGAATGTGGGTAACTTGGACAATTGACTTATTCCTCTTACAATTATTTTTGATCATGAATAGTTCGTTGGGGGTTAGTTACTATATCATGTTCTAAGATCGTTATTTAATCATAACAATCATGAGGCACTTCCAACAGAAAATGTGAGATGAAACCTGTCAGGAAATGGATCCAGTATGTAGCGAAGTAAATCACTTGTATTTTTAGCCCAAATTATATTCATATAATAATTGACTAATCTAGTATTGGTAAGCTTGGTTCAATAATAATTATTTAAAAAATTTAAACTATGTGTTGATGTAAGGCAAATCGACTTAAAAATACTTTTGATTGAAGTGTTAAATCGATCTATTTAAGATGCAAAATGAATTTGGATCTGCTTCTCTTTTCTCCGTCCTTTTGACTTGTGATATATTAGTCTATATGAGTGTGTGATATTTTGAAAAAGAAAAATCATGTTGAGATTTTTACAGAGGAAACTTGAGAGTCGTGACATGAAGCGAAATGGAAACCGTTTTCTACTACTTCTCAACAGCAAACAAGATCACATCTCAGAGACTCATTTACTTAAATTTTACCTAGAAGTACTGTTATTCTCAACTACGATTATGTAAATTGATGAAACTGAGGTGAATAATTAAATTAATTTCCTAGAATTTCATTAAAGAAAGTAGATCAACCGACTTTTCGATATTTTTTCAAAGATGATATCAATAGAAAAGTGATTAATATTCTTATATACTTTGTATTAAGGGGTTTTTCGTGTGATTTAAAGTGAATGATAGAAATATAAAACAATTTTCAATGAATATATAATTAATTATCTATAAACAAAGTGATTTTTGACAAATAATTCATAGATAAACTACATTATTGATTATTTTAATAATAAAGATCACCTGATTACATCACTGATTTATTTTATTTGAAGTGAAAAATACTCCACTCCCCCCTCCATCACTATGATCATGATCATCGTCATCATCATCATCATCAGCAACGATTACAATCATTATGACTGTCGATTAGGAAACAAGAAATAAATGAACTTTTCAACAATAAAATTTCAATAGACTTTTTAAAATTATTATACATAGTTAATGCAGAAGTATTCTCCTCAGTTGAAGATAGAATTAATTAACAAACTACAGTAAGATTTATGAGCAAAGATGGATGGCGGCTAGAAGTAGAATCCAAGGCGCACGTTCCACTGTTAGCCACTATCCATCTTTGCTTATAATGCCTGTGACTTAAGTCAGTATCAAGGCAATCCGCACAAGATGCACATATACCAATAAGAGACAGATCAATTGCAGTCCTAAAAATCAATGAGAAGATTCAAATAGACAATACGGAATGAATTTACGGTAAAATTTGTTAGATTGTTTAAGTTTAAAACTGTATCTCCTCTTTTTTGTATTTAGGAATTGTCGACAGTTGGTTCAATAACAGTTGAATGAATTCAAAAACTGAATAAAACATAGAATAATAACATGATGAATCGTAGTGGGATTGACAACAATAAGAGCAATAACAAAGACCAGTTACCAGAAAAAAGAATCAGAAAAGAATTTCTCAATAAACTTAATTCATAGTTTCCATCATGGACTGATTTTAGGCACCCGTAAAAAACCAGAGAACATACTCAGCAATGAAAACAACTCAATCAGTAATCAAAAATAGCGTCTGGGGATCTCTCAGTGAGTACTTAACGTCTCGAGCAGTCAGTCAACATTCAATTGTTTATACATCTAACTCCAACTACTTTTCGATCCCGGTATCGGATAATTGTACCACACAAGACATGGTTAGACTTCACTGATCACGGCTTCTCACTAGAACTTGGGGAATCACCTCTCAAAATAGGCGGCTAATGAGATTATTACTATTAATTTTCTGTGTTTTGTGAAGTTAGTTAATGAAACAACTGTCTAGTGGTTCTTGTTTTTCAATAGTTGACTAATTAGGTCCAATCTCTACAAACTCCCTGTATTAAGTTATTCCAATTCATGGATTGTTACTGTAAATAATTTTACTTCTAGTTCAAATTGAGATATTTAGTGGCTCTAAGTCTGAATCCAGTTAGATAAGAAGAATGTTCGTTATCGAATGATCGCTATCGAAATGTACGTGCTAGCTACTTTTGTATAATACCATCGACTTAACTCGCGTTAGTGAATAACGGAACTAAATAAGTCAAATACGAGAATGAATTTTGAATCTGTATATCACATACAATCGTTGATCTGAACAGACAATAAGGGAGATGGAGCGAAGGAAGCGAAGATAAGAGCGAGAAGCAAAACGAAACGACATGCAATGGAGATGGCGCCTGAACCAACTGGATTTAACCAAACGTGAATCGATATTTATAGTCAGACAAAAATATGTTAAAAACACATGATAAATGGGGTAAGTAATTAACACACATACGATCATATAAGAAACAGTCAGGAATAATAAGCGAATAAGTAAAAAGGTCAACTATGCTTGAAGCTTTTCTAAAGTCATTGTCGGTCCCAAGCCCGGGTAGAGGAAAAGGTTTTGGCATGGAGTTAGAGACCCCATCCTGTAGAAAACTAACTCGCTGAAGAACGCTAACCAGAAAACATTTAAACTCTGCCCTGGGAGTTAGAAGGTCTTTATTTAGAAGAGTTATGATGCCTCATGGTGAAAGCCAAGCTCCTTCGGAAGTTACGAGGCCGATGCCCATTTTAACAAACAGGGCAACAACTTTTTATAGGTACATGGAAAGTCCAGACAATGTTGGAAACTGGGAATACCAGTCAAATTGCAACGAAAATGAGGAGATACAACTTGGCAGTGCTGGGAATCAGCGAAACCAATTAGACCCGGTCACGAAGAGGAAAATGCCCCACACACTCAGGTAGTTGCTCTAATGCTGTCCAAAGAAGCACGAAATGCACTTGTAGGATGGGAATCTCATGGATCCAGAATCATCAAAGCATCATTCGGAATAAGGAAGAAGAGAGTCACGATGAATATTATCCATTGTTATGCACCCATCAATGATAACAATGGCGACGATAAACATCAGTTCTACAAAAGGCTTTAATCGATCATAGAGAAGTGCTCACAAAAGGACCTCACCATTCTGATGGAAGATCTAAACGTCAAAGTCAGAACAGGTAACAACGGTTATGAAGATAGCATAAGACGACATGGACTGGTAGAGGGAAACGAAAATGGCGAGAGATTTGCAAATCCATGTGCATTCAACAAATTGGTTATAGGTGGTACAATATTCCCACACAAACGCATACACAAGGCTACATGGATCTCACCGCACCACACTACAGAGAACCAGATAGGTCATATCTGCATCAATAAAAATTCCGAAGGACAATCGAAGATGAGAGAACCAGGAGAGGAGCTGATATAGCTTCAGATCACCACTTAGTTGTGGCCTATTTAAAACTGAAGCTAAAGATAACCTAGACAACTGGACAAACAATACTACAAAAGTTCAATACAGCCTTCCTTCGAGATACTAGCAAAATCAACGAATTCAAGATAGATCTCAATAACAGGTTACAAGCCTTACAGGGTCTACGGAAGGAAGAAGAAACTACTATGGAGGACAACTGGAAAAATATCAAAGAAGCATTAACTTCAGCGTGTCAGGAGATTCTGGGAAATAACAAGCATCATCATAAGGAATGGATCTCCATAGAAACACTGGACATGATCAAAGAAAGGAAGAACAAGAAGACAGCAATTAATAACAGCCGGACACGAGCAGAGAAAGTCCAAGCACAAGCTGAGTACATAGAAGCAAACAAGCAAGTGAAGAAGAGCATTAAAGCCAACAAGCAGAAATACATGGAAGAATTAGCAACGACGGCCGAAAAAGCTGTAAGAGAAGGAAATTTGAAACAAATATATGATACAAAAAAGAAACCAGCAGGGACATATAGTAAACAAGAGAGACTGATCAAGAACAAAGAAGACAGGCCAATCACTGAGACTCAAGAACAGACGAATTGATGTGTAGAGTAATTCGAGGAACTTTTGAATGGACCAGCTCCACAGG